TCCCAAGTCTTAATAATTAATAAATCAATTTAAAAAAATATATAATTATATATTTTTTTAGGTGCTGAACACATTTTTAACAAAATTAAATTGATTATATTAATAAAATTTTAAGTAATTTCAATTTATAAAATTGTGTCCCATGTACAACACTGCTTGTACGTATATATAGTACATATTATAATGTAAAATTTCATATATAATTTAACAAGTTTTTAATGTTTGCATTATTATATACTGTATATATTCTGCAAAGCAATATTATTGTTTTAAGAATTTTTTTTATATAAAACTTTAAAAAATAATATAATAAAATAATTAGAAAGACTTATTCAGAGACCATACGTACATATGTAGATTAATGTCTATACAATACTTGCTCTTGTACTATATGTGCAATTTTATGCCCCATGAGGACTGTCTATTTATTTTCTCAACTAACAGCGCCCGTTGCAGAATTTTAGCCATGACGCAAATTGGCAAATTTGTATGAATTTTCCTAAAAATGGGTACAAATTAAGGAATATCGTAATAAGGTTCAAGTATCCTTAATACTGCCACTCTCCTAAATGCAGCTCGTAGATTAAACTTTTAACAGAATTTACTTAATGACCTAAATCGGAAAAAGCATTCTAACCAATTATTTAGACCAGCTTGAATATATTAGTCATTACATATTTTAATTAATTTTATGTAAAAAAAAATTTTTTCTTCAGTAATTATTACGGAAATTTTAAATCAATTATCTCCAACATTCAATTAATCGATTTTTTGCATTTGGGGAGGTACCCGTGTTTTCAATTACATTATAATCTTTAGTGATAATGGTTGCATTGTTAGGGAGGTTTGATTGTATTTTAATTGCATTATATTCTTTAAGAGACTGTATTTTTAGAATATATAAAAAGTGTCAAATTATTCCTTTTATTTCTACACCTTTTAACAAGATCACTCAAAATGATACCTAAATTTTATTTTGGTTCGATTATTACGCTAATTCTTATTTCAACTTTTGCTCAAAGTAAATATTTTATGTTAGATGTTAAATTTTGAATATCAGTTATTAGTGAAGTGCAAATTAGCATTTTTTAAATTTCTGGCCCACATTATGGTAATGCGGGCCAGAATTATGATTCTGAAATGTTCAGAATTGCGTATAGCAAAAAGAATATATTTCTATAAGTACTATAGTCTATTTTAAACACGTGTTTACTGCGCCTAATTAATTGCATGAATAACTGGTATCCAAGCTTCTCGGTTTTATTATCCAACACTAATCAATTTATTAAATACTGTTCTTTCTATATTATAGGTCGTAAGTAATATTTTTATTGGATTATAATCATGGCCTTTTTTTATTTAATAATAAAATAAATTATAATAATTTTTTTTTGGTAAATTGGTAGAATGTAAGTGTAAATTAAGAATTGATAATTAATTTGGCTTAATAATCGAAATTTATTTTAAAAATTAATTCTTTTTCAATTTTTTCTATAATTGAAAGTGCGTAAGTATTAGATTTAGTAATTTCCAGCAGCTCTTATCAGACAGAGAAGCAGATGATTAAGACAGTATTTTTTTCATGATAGAGTATTATTTTTAACAAGATAATTTTTATATAATATAAAGTGGATCGAGCAATTGAAAGACACAGAGTAGCAAGGGCAGCCCGTCAAAGAAAGACACCAGGTCGTGATAATGACAAGCGTTCAGCATTTTTAAAAGATTATTATTACTACAATGAATATCATAAAAGGTAAGCGTATA